AGAGAGAGAGAACATGTCGTCAACAATATTTGCTCTAAATGTGCCATAAATTGTTATTAAAGCCTCTGAAGTGATTTTCTACTCATTATATAAGATCACAATATGTATGAAAAGAACATATTATTTGCCAAAACAACTGAGACCTGAGTTTTATATTTAGTAACAATCATACGCTAGACATCATAAAACATATAAGAAGTTTAGCATATTTTTGAATACATTTATTTCTTATTTTAATTTTCATTCTTTGTGTAATGAATGGAAATATTTTGAATTCTTATAACCATTGATATAATAGTGAGATTCGAGAATAAATCTAAATAAATTATTTAATTATTAAATAAAAATCACTGATAATAATTGTCTGTTTATTGCAATAGTTCTATCATATAATCGGATTGAATGTACATAAGATGTATATTTTCAGTGTACAACAAGTGTTTTACAGAATTTTATTGGTTTTAACAAAATTCAATGAAATATATTTAATATAAATTTATAATTTTGACATTTGAATGATTTTGAAAAAGTAAAATAAAAAAGCTTGACATTCATTCATTGTATACCAGATATGTTAGTTATATTCTGTAGACGTAGTCAAAAGCCATTTAATGGATAATAATATTATAATGTAAAGTTTATACAGAATACGGTACACTGTATAAGCAACTCGTTTTTAAGATATAAAGATACAATATAAAAGTACATTAGTTATAAATATCATCAAAAGCCTATTACAAAACATTATATAAAACTATATTTATAAATATAATATTAGGTGACGAGAGAGACTGAGTGCCACCACTTTTCCGTAAAACACCTCTTAAAAGCGTGGTTAATAAACCAATGAAATTAATTTAGTAAAATGCATTTCGTAATACTGTATATAAATAAAATATTGGTATAAATGAAGGCTATTTTATAGACTCTTTCATTCATTATGCAATTTTATTTCTCTTTTGAGAGCAAATTTTTCTTTGTCTTTTTATATACATTTGTGTAAAATACTCGCAAATTGGGTGAGAATTTTAAGAGGAAAATATTTACTAAAATTTGAATCTTTTGTTTCAGAATATATTAAAAATCTTTGTTTTTAACTACAAAATTTCAAATAAATTACTTAACAAGCTCAATTTTAATAGCAATTTTATTTGAGCTAATTTAGGTTAATTAACAAATTTTAATTGATAAGTTAAGTTTATAATAAAACTATTTTTAAACTAAAGTAATTCCGCTTATTTACACTTCACTACGGCTTTAAACAGTTATACAAAACAAACTAAACTTTTAAAACATTACAAAATAGCATTCAAAATATAACTAAACCAATGTTAAATAATAGTGGTTACCTTTCAATGCCAATAATAGTTAGGGTAAATGCGGTGACAAAAACGGATAGGATCTGAACGAACTGAGCGAAAGGGCATAACCAGAAGGGGAATATCCAACGACCTAACATGAAGTCCGTGTAAGTGAACGGCACTGAGAATACGCCGACCAATATGTCAGAGACGGCCAAATTGATGAGGAATTTGCGGAAATTCTTGGCCGATCTCTTCCCAAATA